AATAGACGCCTTGAGTTCCACATACTGCGTTCAAAACGAGAACCAACGAGAAACCAAAACAGAGAGAGACAGAGAGAGAGGGAGAGAGAGGACTCTAGAGCTTGTGGCGCATTTGCTTGTTCGCGAGCTTTGCAAACTGCTCCTGCGGCTTGCCCGTCGCGAAGCGCTCGGCGCCGGCAAACACCTCGCGGACGTTACTGTGTGGTGCGGGAGAGCGCGAGGTCAGGTGCGCTCGAGCGGGAGAGAGAGCAGAGAGGGAGAGAGAGAGAGAGAGAGGGAAAGAGGTGGACGCACGTCGGCTCGGGGTCCGGGAGCGCGGCGCGGATGAGGGCCTTGGACTTGACGATCTGCGCTTGGTCGTCCAGGTGTCAGTGGATCATGCGCATCGCAGAAAGAGAGAGAGAGAGGGACGAGGGAGACAGAGGGACGTACCGCGTCAAGCTGGAGCCCGTCGAGCTGCCGGTCGAGGAGCTTGAACAGCTCGGTGCGGAACTCGTTCGAGTCGCCCTTGACGTCGATGAGCCCGTTGATGAAGCCGCTCGGGAGGAGCTCCTGGACCGAGAGCTTCTTGCCGAATAGGAGGGCCCTGCGCGCGCGAGGTCGTTCCGGGAGCGGTCAGTGCCGGTCCGACGAGTCTCACAGGGGGAGCGAGGGGAGAGCGACGGGGAGAGGTGGATGGAAAAGAAGTGAGGGTGATGGACGAGGAGGGAAAGGGAGACGCAACTCGTTGGCCTTGCCGAGGCCCATGCGCTGCACGAGCGCCTGGCTCGCGCCGCCCTCGCACACGAGCGAGATGGCGCTGAAGGGCGTCAGGAAGTAGGCCGTCGGGACGGCGTACACAAAGTCAAAGTGCTGCGGGGCGTCGGGCAAGGGTCAGTGGCGCGTCGCGGCGGGAGGAGCGAGATGGGGCGCGACGCACGCCGAGGAGAGCTGCGACGAGGCTGGGTCAGTGACGGGCTCCTGACAGGAGGAGGAGGGAGGCGGACGTACCCGCAGAGAGACCGATGGCGGGTCCGTTCAAGCC